GCACCCAGCCCCCACGGCGGGGCAGCTCCCGCTGGGGGGGGGGGCTTCACTCGCTTTGGGGCCACATTCCCGCAGCCCCAGCGATGCGCTGTGCTGACACGCAACGCTGTCCCATCGCTATGGGCTGGCAAATCCTCTGATTAAACTCAAACACGGATCCCCGCGTGGCTGCGAGCCTCCCCCGCAGAGCCCGTTTTGCCACCATCGCCCACCCCTGCTGAGCACACAGCACTTCACAGCTCAGCGCCAGCACGGGACTCTAAACACGACACAAGGGAATTTCTTCTTCCTCTCCCTCCACCCCTGAGCCGTCCTCCCCACGCACCGCACATTTCCCATGAAATGAGGATTAGCCCCAGCCACCGGGTCCAGGGCCCGCTCTGCCGCGGGGTCTGCTCGTGGACAGAGCATGGCGGGACCGGGGGGCTCCTGCAGTTGAGGCAGAGCAACCCCCACAGCCACATCTGGCACCAGGAGCCACCACATCCATCACATGAGGCCAACGCTGGCTTTACAGCTAAAAATGTGTACCTACGAAAAGCTCTATTGCTTTGTATTGGTCAGCAGGGAGACAAATGCACTCCCAAATTCCTTCTATTTAACTGTGTTCCTATTTTTCTTATTTTTCAAGCACCAATTTGCTTCTGAAAGGTACACAGGAGCAGTTCCTGCTCCTCTGCTCAGCAGCTGTAAAGACAACCTCCCCTTCCCCTCAGTGCCTTTCCCTTCAGCTGCCCTTCGCGCTGCCCGGCAAGCCCTTCCTCCCTCCTTCCTCCACCTCCACTTGCCTGCAGCTGGATTTATCTTTCGGAAAAGAAACGACAAAGAATAATCGTGTTTCTCATGTTCTGGCACACATTAGTGATTAAGGCTCCAGGGCCCAGCGAGGGGATTTTAATTTGCTTTTAAGTTTTAGGCAGTGAAGCTGATGAAAATCAATAAATCATTAAGTTCACGTATTTATAAATAGTTTTCATGCTGCTGTCAAACTGCCCAGATGCAGACAATGGCCAATGCTTGGCTGTTGTTCTCAGTGCCTCAGAAAAACCAACGGGAACGCGAAACAAGCTCCAGCAGCCCCACTCCC